AAAGACACAGTAATGAACATTAAAGACAAAAATCCCGGCTTCTGCCCAGGGGACATTCTGGTGAGAAGGGAGACTTGTGAGGCGGTGAATGGTGAGAGAAGCACACAAACAACACAAAACCCCCGGCGGGGAGGGGGGGGGGGGAGGCGAGGGAGGGGCAGGGAGGTTCCAGGGGACGGTCCCCTGGTGAGTTTCTGCAGAGACACTTGCTGACAGGGAGTTTGAGCTCAGGGCTTGGGGAGGGCAGGGGGGCAATGCAGGCTGAAGCGGTGGGTTCTCAGCCCTCACCCGCCTTGCTGGGAAGTCCTGGCGCAGTGTGGCCGCCTGCTGGAGGGGGCACGGTCCGGGACCACCAGGCTTCAGGCGGTTCCCAGACGTGGGTTTCCTGGAAGAGCCGGGCCCCAGGAGACTCTCTGCCTAGCACTGGCCCCTGGCGGAACTGAGAGCTGGAGGCGAATCTGGGGAATTGCCCTTCCGATTCCAGCCCTGAGCCAGGGATGCGGTTACTCCTGCGGATTCCTGAGGAGTCCACTGCTGGGCGTCCAGAAAAGGGAGCTAAGGGGGCCCGGGGCTGCCGTGGTGGGGAGGGGAGGCTGCGTAGAGGCGCTGCAGAAGCTGAGAACTCGCAGAAGTCACAGGCAGAGGCAGAGAATTTGGGCACGCGCGGCGCTGGTTAATCTTGGCTGCCCTCTGCTGGGTGTATAGGGGATCACCCCAAAGCGGGTTCCAGCTTTTCTTCAGTTCTTTTGCTCCAAGTGTTGTGAGTTCTGCGGGCTCACTTTTAAAACTGGGTTATAATAGCTCTCTGGTCACGGATGGCAGAGGTGGGAGGAAAGGACTGATCAGCTTAGAGACTGCAAGGCGAGAGACGCTGAGGGGAGCTACACCGGCGTGTGGAGTGAGGCTGGGGCTGGGCCCGGGTTGGTGCCTGCAGCATGGAGACCAGCAAAGCAGAGTGAAGGATTGGCAGGAAGGCTGAGGGCTAAGGACTGGGAGCGGCGCCTGATGTTCCCAGGAGGAGACCCAGACGCAGACTCTGAGGATGGGAGCTGTAGAGCACCGAGTGTGCTTGGTGTTCAGCATCCTTAGAGTGGCCTGGTTTTGTCTTGCTGCGTCACTGATGCGGATATTTTGTGAAATTATGTTCAATAGAATGGTCAGCTTGGTGAAGGCCTAGCTGTGAGTATCCAGTGCTCCTGGATGTCAGAGGCAGTTTTTTAAATTTTTTCATTAATTAGGGGCAGGGCTGGGTCACACCTGACCCAGTGACCACTGGGTTCAGTAGCCACTCTGGCTCTGCTCAGGAGTGACCACTGGAAATACTCAGGGGTCTATATGCAGTGCTGGGAACTGGACCACCATCAGTCTAAGTAGCCACATGTAAAACAAGTGCCTTATCTTCTTCCCTAAATTTCCAGCCCCTTCTTTCCTTTTTTGGGGGGAGAGGGGGGAGGAGGAGGCATACCTGGAGGTACTCAGGTCTTACTCTTGGATTTGCGCTCAGAAATTACTCCTGATGATGCTTGAGGGCCCATGGGGTGCTGAGGATTGAACTGGGGTTTACTTTATCCCTTGTATTGTATCTCTGGCCCCTGTTTCTTTCCTTTTATCGATATAGGTGACCCCGAAACATCCCATTCTTAACTGGAGGATCAAAGTAACTTTGTTCAGAGAAGATGGCTGATTCCCAGCCACGTACAGAGCTTCAGATTACTGATCACATCCGATTCTGTCTTAACTGTGGCAGGTTAAGTTTCCATGGAAACGTGGATCCATTTGGCAGTGCCAAGTGGATGCTACACATATTCTTTTGTCACATTCTATTCTTACACTGAACCTATCAAAGCACTGCTTAATTTAACTTTCACTTGAACTTCTCCTCCACCGCCCAAACCTTTCCTTGGTGACGGTCCCCAGAGTCCCACTGGAGAGCTGTCTCCTTTACTGAAGTCAATCAATGAACTCACCTTTGTTGAATTACAGTTTTGTCCCTAGGGAGTCTGCAGCTGATTATTGAGCTAGAACAAAACTACATATGGTAAATGAGTTATAAATGCTATTAAAAACAAACAAAACGCAGGAAAAAGAGTAAGAAATGTTGGGGAAGCAGCAGTTTGCTTCTAGCGGTGCTGGGGAAGGTCTCCCTGATAAAGTAACATCTGAGCAAAGTCCTGTAGAAGAAGGCAGGGGATTTTCTCTTTTTGGGGGGTGTGTGTGGGAGTAGGGCTTATAGATTTGGGCCAGACCCTGCAGTACTCCGGGACTATCCCCTGGATCTTTTTCAGGAATGACTCTTAGAGGTGCACAGGAGACTATATAGGTCCTGGGATGAAACTGGACTCAGCACATGCCAGACAAACAATTACCTGAGGTACTATCATCTCTCTTACCTAAAGGTTGGGAGACTTTACAGTAGGCTGAGTGCTTGGGAAAAGAACACTGCACAAAGTAGGGTACAGTTAGTGCAAAGATCCTGGAGGGAGCATGCTTTTTTCCTACTGAGCACACAGTGACCACCTTTTTCATCCGAAAACCACCCAGAAGTTCCTCCCTCATTTTAATTTTGGGTTTTTTTTTGAAGTGGCCACATCCAGTGATGCTCAAGGTTGCACCTGGCTTAGTGTAGGATAATGTTGGTTTGCCCTTCCTCCCTGGCCGCTGGGAACTTGTGTTGGTTGACTACCCCCCAACCTGTCAATTACCTTTGTCTTCTGATCAGACTCTGATTTGTAAATATTGTCTTTCTCTTCTCCTTAATTTTTTTTGCATGGTTAGTTATTTCAGAGCAATTGCTTTTTGTATGGATATAGGAAGTTAGTTAAAAAGACAAGCCTGTGGGGGCTGGAGCGATAGAACAGTGGGTAGGGGGTTTGCCTTGCATGTTGCCGACCCAGGTTCGATTCCCAGCATCCCATATGGTTCCCTGAGCACCGCCAGGAGTGATTCCTGAGTGCAGAGCCAGGAGTAACCCCTGTGCAAAGCCGGGTGTGACCCAAAAAGAAAAAAAAAAAAGACAAGCCTGTGGCTTGGGAGTTGATTGACTCCAGATAATATTACCTCCTGGACATCTGATCTCTCGACTTAAGCCTCAGTTGCCCTTACTTCCCAGATCCCCAAAAGCAAGGTCTTGATGAGGGACTGGATGGACCCAGGGCAAATGGTGAGCTATGAGCTACCCTGGCCATCGAAACGGGCCTGGCCAAAGTGCCCTAATGCTTAACTCTAAGTTAAGTGCTTGGTCATGAACAAATTCTGTCATGATCCAAAAAGCAATAACTAGATTTGGACCCTGCTGGGGTTAGGAATGATTGATCTGGCCTGAGCACTATAGTCTGAGTCTGTGGTAAGATGTCCCCAGGAGAGTCACCCTACAAGCCTAAAAGTGACTATTACTATGTCCATATAGAATGATAAATATTAGGAAGGAGAATTAAAGTTGCTAATTAAGTTGCAGGCTGGAGCAATAGCACAGCGGGTAGGACGTTTGCCTTGCACGCAGCCAACATGGCTGATGCGAGTTCGATTCCTCTGCCCCTCTCAGAGAGCCCGGCAAGCTACCGAGAGTATCTCACCCTGACGGCAGAGCCTGGCAAGCTACCCGTGATGTATTCAATATGCCAAACACAGTAACAACAAGTCTCATGAAAGAGACGTTACTGGGCCCGCTCGACCAAATCGATGAACAACGGGAGGACCGTGATCTGTGAATTAAGTTGCAGATCTAAGGAGATGAGAACACACCTTAAGGGCTGTTTTGCTTGTGTGGGCTGCAGTTGGTCGGGAAGATTGGAAAACATTTTTTATCACATGGGGAGGCATTGTTGGGGTGTCCTGGTGAAGGATAAAAAGAGGGGCTGCGGGAGAAAGAGTTGGATAGTTGAAATGGATTCTTGGATGGATTGATTAATGGATTGATTGAAGGAGAGGGGTTTGAAGGAGAGAAGAAAAAGGAGAGACAGCAGAGATAGAAATGGATACAGTGGGAAGAAAGAATTGTGCAGTTAGAGAGAGACACATGCACAGAGGAGTGGAGAGAGCTGGGAGAGATGAGATTGAATAAATGGCAACTAATCAGCAACCAGTTTCAGTTTGGCCCTCGCTCTTCCTTTGTACGTCCAGGGCAACAGCCCTCCAGGGTGGAGAAAGTGGGCAGTGAGAGAGCTGCCCAGAGGGCCCATGAACATCCTTTCACTTGTAATCCCCGGGCACAAGGGGTTTACACAACCCACGAGAGAGCGAGATATGTTTTTACAGCTCAGAACTCGAGGACTACTGCCTGGTAATGCTCGGGGGATCATATAGGATGCCAGGAATGGAATCCGGGTTTAAGCGAGCAGCAAAACGCTCTAGCCACTGTACTATCTCTTTGGCCCCATTGTTCCCTTATCTTGCTTTACAAAAATACACAAACACATTGTATTTGATGTGGGAGTGACTAGGGGGCTCCCAAGCGGTGCTCAGAAGCTTGAGACCACTGACGTTTCGGCCTGGCTATGCTCTGCGGCTTCTTCGGCTGTGCTGGGAGGCACCAGGGCTACTCAGGCGAGAACTTGGAAGCACCGGCCTGTGGAGCTCAAGATCTCCAAATACCAACTATGCACGCCAGACCCTCCAGCTGCCTCCTAGGCACTCTTGTCTTGCTTTGGTTTTTCTCCACCGTACGTTTTAACGTGCGATCCTGTGTTTATTGCACTTGGTTTCTTCTTTTCGGCCCATCCAGGTTGTCTCCTTAACCTCTGCAGCATGAGCTTCTAGTCGCTTTAGACACAGCGAGCGCTTGACCTGTTACGTGCACAGGATGGACTGTTCTGGCAGGCCCGAGGAGGCACAGAGAAGGGAAGGAGGGAGGCAAAAGTAGCGCACAACCTTCCGTTCCGAGTCTGGGAACGGAAACAACATCTCGGGACCGCCCACGAGCGTCGCTCCCCATCACCCGGGCTTCTGCGCGTGCGTGCGCAGCGGCCCGTTCAAGCGTCCTCCTGATTGGCTGCGGGTGAGCGGGGCTGCGCCTGCGCGCTCCAGGGCTGTAACTGCTGGCTTTCCAGCCTCCGCCAGCGCCGCTGCTTCCCGCTTCTGTTCCCGAAGCTCAGAATGTTCCCGGAACTCAATAACCTCCTCGACACCGCTCCCGACAGGCCGGAGCAGGTGAGCCGTGGCACGGCCGGCAGAGGGCGGCTTCCGGAGCGTGGGGACGGAACACGCGCAGCCCCGTGGAGCCGACAGGGCACTCTCGGGCGCCTGGGAATTGTAGTCCGGGGGCGTGCTGGGTCTCCTGGGCCCTGTGTGCCCTGAAAAATCCCCAGCTCTCCGGCCTAGCCTAGCGGGCTAGAGCGCATTGCATTGCATGCAGGAGGCCCGGGTTGGAATCCCAGCACCGCCGGGATTGGCGCAAAAGGAAATAAATCCCCAGGAATCCGGTCCCACTCTTGGCTTGGCTTATGGTCACAGACAAGAGGACTCGAGCCCCATGTGTGCTCACCCACAGGAGTGTGTTGTGTGTGGCGGGAGTGGGGTGGGTTGGTAGTGATTGGGTTCCTGGCCCTCCAGGAGGTGGTTGGCAAAGGGAGTTGAGTTTTTTGGTTGTGTGTCTGTGTGTGTTTCTGTGTGTTTTATCATTCTCAGGACTGTGTTGGGGACACAGTCTGTTCGCTCCATCCTCCATCCAGCACAACAGGGACATCTCCGAACTTTTCGCTCTTAAGCCAGGGTGCTTTACCTAGCGCATTTTATAACCTTTGTGTTCCTTATGGAGATGCAGTTCCTCCAAGCTGCCAGGAAGATACTCTGTAATGTCCCAACCCAATCCCTGTACCCCCACCAGCCAGGCAAACTGTAGGTTTCAGTACATTCTTAGTGGAGTTTAGCGGTCCAGCAGTTCTCCTCTGCCCAGGTCTCAGATGATGCCACTTACCTTGCCAACTACTGTGCTTCCAAACTTGGCGCCTTCATCTTGGCTGCAAAGTAGGAAGCTGGAAGTGGGCACTGGGAAATGACAGCCCTGGAGGATGACCCTCCAATATGATGTTTTATAAATGGAAGGAAATTGCAACAACACAGGTGGCACGTCTGGCCCTCCTTGATCCTGAATTGTCATGCCACTCTTAGGGACCATTCATCAAAGGTCAGTGAAGCCAGGCACATGGAGACTATCTTTTTTTCATTTCTGTTTTTGGTGGGAGGGTTGGGGCCACACCCAGCAGTGCTCAGGGCTTACTCCTGGCTCTGTGCTCAGGGATCACTCCTTGTGGTGGTGCTCATGGTGATCATGTGGTACTGGTGATGCATGCAAGGCAAGCACCTTACCCACTGTGCTCTCTCTTCGGCCCCCAAGAGAAGAGATTTTAGTGTCTAGGTTGTTTTTTGATTGTTTTATTTTTATTGTCTTTTGAGCAGTGCTCAGTTTTTTACAGCTGTGCTTGAGTGACCATGTGATGCCGGGGATTGAACCTGGACCTCCCACATGTAAAGCCTACACTCCAACTACTGAACAGTCTTTCCTGCCCTTTCCCGGCCACACACACTTTTTTTTTGTGGGTGGCAGAGGAAGGTACCACTGATGGTAGTCGTATAGCCAGGGGACACTCCAGGTAATTCTTTGGTCCGATGGATCCATGGATCAAACCTGGGGCTTAGCTCATATGTTCTTCCACTTAAGCTATATCTCTGGCCTCTTATTCTTTGTTTGCTTTGAAACGGCAGCTGAGGGTTTTTTTTTTTTTTTTGGCCTGTCTGAGTGACATAATAATAATCACATTTCAAGTGTGAATTTTTCTAAGATTCTTTGTTTTTTGGGTGGAGGAGAGGTAAGACAGCATACATCTAATTAAAACTCTATCTTCACCAAGTGCAGAAGTTTGGGTTGGACCTCATCTGCTAGATTTCCATTCAGCTGATCTCTTAGCAAAGTACCTGCCTCACTTTTAAAAATTCCTCTTCACTTGAAGGGGCGGCTGACTCTCCTCTGTGATGCCAGGACAGATGGCAGTTTCCTCGTGCACCACTTCCTCTCCTTCTACCTCAAAGGTAAGGGAATACTGAAGCTGTGGGAGAAGAATATGCAGGAAGGCCCTGTTCCAGGAAGCCAGGGGAACGATGTTAAGCTGTTAGAGCTTTGGTGTTTGGGAGCCACAGGGTTCTGGATGCGGCGAGAGACTTTTGGGCTGGCTCCTTCCTTGCCAGCCCTGTGGGCAGGTGCTCCCTGAGTGCGTGCGTGCGTGCGTGCGTGCGTGCGTGCGTGTGTGTGTGTGTGTCTCCTGTCTTCCCCTCCTACCCGCCAAGCGGGCAGCCTCATCCCTGACACCCCAGTGTGGCCTCCTTACCCTAATAATGAGTAATGAGTTGCTCCTCAGTTCTTGTTTTATTCATTAATTAATTTGTTTATTTGTATTTGAAGGTCTTCCACGCACTTGCTCAGGGCGCGATGTTGGCAGTATACCGCCAGCCAGGCCAGTTCAGGGCTTGTCCCAGCAGTGCAGTGCTGCTCAGGCCTCGGACTGCTGGGGGTCACCAAGGCTAAGGCCAGGGCTGGGGGCCATGCGAGGCTGGGCTTGACCTGGCTCCTCGCATATGCCAGCCATTACTCTAAGGTTTTGGGCCATTTCCTCGCCCTCCTTTGGTATTTGTTGTTGTTATTTGAGTCATAGCCAGCTTGGGGTGGGGGCAGTCCCTGGCTGCTGGGGAAGGAGTGAAGCCAGGCTTCCTGCATGCAGGCAAGGGCTCCAGTTCTTTAGCTACCTCTCTGGCCCGTTTCTTGTGTATCTTGAGGTCCCTGAAATACTGAAGCTTTGCCCTGGCAGTAAATGTTCCAGAAAGACTCCAAGGAAGAAAACAGCATGGCCACTGCAGTTTACATACAGAAATAGGTTACAAGGAGAAAATGGCCAAATGAACAGAGATACTCTTCATCGATTCTTCTTCTGTGCCCGGCGATCCAGGCCAGGAGATTGGGTGGACTTCAGGCGCTATCCTTAACTGTCATCTTATTTGACAGCTTTGAAAGTGTTTTTTCCTTCTATTTTCAGGTGCTGTCATTTTAGGCTTAGAGAGGGCAAGAGAATCTCTCAGTAAATTATTAGAATTAATTATGCTCAGTAAGGTATCATTGTGTTCCCTTTATAGCCTCTTGGATCTGAGACTAGTTTATAAAGCAATTCACTGTACGCCAGCAATAGAAAATACAAGTAAGAGAAATCTAATTTTGAGAAATTCAACTGTTTCTTTACAATCAATCAAAATAAGGCATTGATAACCCATCTAATAGAAATACATTGTAGTGTCAGTGAAATAGGTACACTTATTAATATTTTAAAGGGCCGAAGTTCAATCCCCAACACTGCATATGGTTCCCAAGCCCTGCCAGGAGTGATTCCTGAGTGCAGAGCCAGGAATAAGCCCTGAGCGCTGCCAGGGCTGACCCAACTCCCCACACCCTAAAGAACATCTTAGAATCAAATTTGGCATAGTTTTGGAGGATGGTTATGAGACAGAAGGTCCCAGTTTGGGGGAGAGAGAGATAGTTTAGGGGTTAAAACACTTGCCTTGCATGCAGCCAATCCTGGTTCGATGTCTGGAACCGTGGGGGTCCTGTGAACATGGCCAGGTGTGGGCCAAAACCCAAAAGAAAAGCAAAAAATAAAATGAAAACACTCGTCTTAAATGTGGTGCCAGGAATTCGGTCCCTGGTACCACTCACATGGGCTGAGCATGGTCCTGGGAACTTTGCTCTCTAGGACCCCTGTGCTGCAACAGAGTCTGTCTTCTGGAGATGGCAGGCCCTGCAGCGAAAGTAGGCAGCCCCCAGGAATGCCACAGGCGGCCCCTGGCAAGCTCTGGTGCAAGCAGTGCAGCTCAGAACATGGCAGCTGGGCTGCAGGCTGAGGAGAGGGAAGCGGAAGAAATCATCAGATTGGCCAAGTGAGGCTGCAGGGCTCTGGATCGCGAGACTTCCTGAAGTTCTTTGATGCTCAGGGCTATGAATTGTCAGCAGGGCCTTTAATAACACATATATTAATTTTGTCTTCCAGCTCGTTGTAAAGTCTGCTTTGTGGCCCTCGCCCAGTCCTTCAGTCACTACAATATTGTGGGACAGAAGTTGGTAACTATTTCCCATGTCCTTGGGGAAGTTTCCGTGTGTGTGTGTGTGTGTGTGTGTGTGTGTGTGTGTGTGCGTGCATGCATGTGTAGGTGTGAGTGCTTGTGCATGAGGCCTGAGACTTGGGCTTCCCTGCTGGATTGTAGATAGCTTAATAATAGAGGCTTTACACAAATCTGGAGCACCCGAACCCCTTCCCTGTATGACTGCTTCTCTGCCTTTTTTATTACTTGAGTTTTTATTACTTGAGCCACATCCCTAACCCATCTCTACTCAATCTGGATCAGGTAGGAGTTTTCACGTAAGGTTTCAGGACTGAGATAGAGGAGAGATGCTTTTGTCATCCTCCCCTTGTTGTGGTGTGTCTGTATGGCTCATTAAATGCAGGCAGATGGGGATAAGATGGCTGAGAGCCTGGCCAACCTCCTGGCCTAGTCTGGGCCATTTCCCATGATCTGGGACCAGTTGGACTTTCTGGGATTTTCTTTCTATCACTTGGCCGGGAAGGGAGAGGAAACCATCAGCAGTAAATGCATTCTGGTTGGGGTCACAGAGGGGAAAATATGATTCCAAGGGTGAGAGAAGAGTAGAATCTCCTTCCCTGCCTTTGTAGAGATGCAGGACGTTCCTGTACAAAAAGGCAGCACGTGAGCTCAGAGAGCACGATCATGTCAAGAACACATGTTGTGGGGCTGGAACGATAGCACAGTGGGTAGGATGTTTGACTTGCACGCAGCTGACCTGGGTTTGATTCCCAGCATCCCTTATGGTCCTCAAGACACCGCCAGGAATAATTCCTGAGTGCATGAGCCAGGAGTAACCCCTGTGCATCGCCTGGTGTGACCCAAAAAGCAAAAAAAAGTTGCATTCCAGGTCCATGGGGAGATATCTCTGTCAGGTGTCACTGTTTCTGTATCGAAAGCTGTAGACCCTCAGGTCCCCATTGGCTCCTCCTTCTGTGAACTTTGAGAAAAGATGTGGGGAGGACTGGGCATGCAAAGTACTCAAGCAAAGGCTCCCAGACTTATTTGGCCTGTCTCCTTCTTATTCGAAAAATATCCCTCAAATCTGCCTTCTTTTAGGGGGTGAGAATCAGGGGTCACACCCTGTGATAGGGTTACTCACAGGGTTACTCTTGGCTGTGCACTCAGGAATCGTTCCTATTAGCAGAAGGAACCAAATGGGGTGCAGGATCAACCCTGGGTTGGCTGCATGCAAGGTAAGTGTCCTACCCAATATATTATTGTTCTAGTCCCAGATTGGCGTTCTTTTAAGCAAGTAAAAATTTATTTGCCCAGTTCCATTGTAGCTAGTCATACTGCTCCCCTGAACTGTTCTAGTACCTCAGAGGAGTGGTGATATCACCCACTCTGGGTAACACACTCTGGAATGTGATACTTGCAGTAGAAGAGTAATCCTCCTCCTGTTGTACCTCTGTACTAATAGTAATAGAAGGGAAACGAGCAAGAGCAAAGGTGATCGGGAGTCTTCGTCAGGGAGCTGCAGCTCATGTACTTTGGAGCATGGACAGGCAAGTCAGATCAGGTCTCATCCATGACTCTAAAGCTCCCTGGGGCTGTTTCTGCACAGATTGTAGACTCTTCCCATGGGAATTCATGCTCCTGGGCCCAGTGCCTCAAACAAACCAACCTGGGTTAGATGAGAGTTTGTTAACCCCTGCTGTGCATCACAAGCAATTATAGATGGTTTTTCATGGCCCATGCAACTGGTTCTGGTTCTGGAGTGGGTCCGTGGGTCTGCATTTATTTATGTATCTGTTTGTTTTGGTGGTTTGGGGCCATACCTGGCAGTATTAGGACTTGCTCCTGGTTTTGAATTCAGGGATCACTTGGCAGCGGTCCAGGGACCATATGGGATGTCAGGGATTAAATCTGAGTTGGCTGCAGTACCCTACCTATTGTACTACCTCTCGGCCCCTCAAGAGATTCTTAGTTGCGTGGTTCATGCAAAACCATATATAGTTTCTTGTGATGTAGAGCAGGTGTTAAGCTATAATCTAACACCAGTTTGTTAGAGTTGTGTGTGTGTGTGTGTGTGTGGCAGGGCGCAGGGGGGTGGTGGCCAAGCAATGCACTCAGTTTCTTAGGGTCTACTCCAGTTCGGTGCTCTAGGTTGTTTGCTGCGGGCCGTGAAGAACCGTGGCCTCCTGGGGATTGAACCGGGGGCTCTCACATGCAGAGTTTGTACTTGGTTCCCGTGAGCTGGCTGCCATAAATACATGCATTTTAAAGTAATGCATAAAGAAATATGTACGAAATAATACTAAGAACCAGTACTGGGAATGGTAAAAATAGCATAGGGATTAAGACACTTGACTTCTATGTGCCTGACCCAGTTTGATTTCAGGTACTATATATGGTTCCTTCAAACACCCGGGGTCCACTCCTGAGCGTAGAGCAGGAGCGAGCTCTGAGCACAACTGGGCATAGCCCAAACCAACCCACTCCCCCCAACCCCCTAAAATGCAAAACCAGTACTGGATAATAATAAAAGTAAATATTTAAGCAAAAGGAGGTCGGTTTTTAAATCAAATGACAGATGTAATAGCGGATCTGCAAACAGAATGGGGTTGTGGGTGGGGGCCCCCCACGAGAAACCGTGAGTCCAGTGGGGAGGCTCCCGTCTGTAGGTGTGGGGAGCCCCACATACTCTGTGCACTACGATCACCTTCTTTGCTGGGCTCACCCTGCAGCACGCAGTGACCCTGTGTCATCTTTAGGGTATCAGCCTGACCACGGCGCGGGAACGCGGACAGCTCGTCTTCTTCGAGGGACTCAAGGCAGCGGTGGATGTCATCTTCCGGGCTCCGCAGGGAGAGCCACAGCCCCTGCAGTTTCTCAGGTCAGTGTGCGTGCGAGTGCTCGCTTCTCCAAGCTCTGCTTTGCTGTGCAAGGCGAGGAGAATGACATGCTTTCCTGTTCTCTCCAGCCCTAGCGCAGTGCACGAGCACCCACCTCTGTTCTGTTCTTGGCTCCCTCCAAGGCCAGCTCACCAAGGGCACCAGGGCTTAGCAAACAGAGTTGCAATTACAGCATACACAGAGTTGTCAGTAATAACATATTGACAACAACATGTTGTCATCAATATGTTGTACTGGAATATAGGCACCTGCATTCTTGGCTTCTCATCCCTGAGTGGTTTTGTAGCACAGAAGCCAAGTTAGAAGCCAAAACCCGCATCCCTTCGAGCCTGAAATATTTGTGCCTGACTTGGAGAACACTTGTCAGCTGCTGACTCTGGTGTCCTGCTGGGCATCGGAGCAGACCTCTCCTTCCTCCAGTGCCAGGGCGGCCTGGCACAAGCTGTGCCCTCTGTCCCCACTCTGCTCATCCTGCATGGGGCCCTGACATCTCTACCCCTCAAGTCTTCACTGTCATCCTTATTCATGGAGCTGCACCCTGGAGTGTGGCTCTGATCTTCTGGGCCCCTCACCTCTTGCAGGACACAACAGCAAGGGTTTCACTGGGCAGCTGGAGGAGACGCTGTTATGGCCCTCTGCACGTGAGGCCTAAGAGTGACTGGGCAGCTTTTTTGTTTTTGGACCATACCCAGAGATTCTCGGGGGCCACTCCTAGCTCTGTGCTTAGCTGTTACTTCTGGCAGCACTCAGGGGACCATAGGGGATGCCAGGGAACAAACCCAGGTCATCTATGTACAAGGCCATCGCCCTACCCCCTGTACTCTCTCTCTGGCCCCCGGGTAGCCTTTTATACCGCTAGGACCCCTTGGGGAGGCTTCTCCTGCCTTCCCAGTCCAGACGCTTCCAGGTGCCTTAAACACGTTAGACGCAAGACTGGCTGGCAGCGCGTAGGAGCTCAGGGTCTGTTTGGGTTTCCTGAGTCTCTCGCACAGTGCTTGGCACCTGGACAGCCTCAGGGAATAGCTGACTGAAGAACCACTTAGGTCCGTGTGCCTGAGCCTGCCTGACCTTTCCAGCCAGATCGTGACCCCTCAGCACCAGGACTGCCCACAGCTGCAGTCTTTTGCCCCACAGCCCCTTCCCAGTGCTGCTCTAGAAATGACTGTAGAGAGGGGGCAACTCTCACATCCCTTTTACCTGTGTCCCAGGGAGGGCACCGCTGGGAGCCTGCAGCCACTGTATGAGTTTGTGCAGAAGTCACTGAAGCCAGAGGCCGACGCGGACACTGCGTGGAGGTGGCCGGTGCTGCTGGTGGATGACCTCAGTGTGCTGCTGAGTCTGGGCATGGGGGCCGTATCTGTGCTGGACTTTGTCCACTACTGCAGAGCCACCGTGTGCTGGCAGCTGAAGGTACCCCTGCTCCCACATGAGACCTGGGTGCCCAGGTGGGCCCTCCAGCCCTCGCGCATTGGGGCCGCATGTATTTGTTTGGGACTGGGCTGTGTGGGGCACATTGCCAGGTTTCCGGGCAGGTCAGCATCTCTCTGAGTGTGTTTTATAGCTCAGTGGAGCTAATGGTATCAATGGCTTTAAAACCTGCAAGGTTCATCACAAATACAGATGGTAACCTGGAAAAGTTGAATAAAATCAAATTCTGGGGCACAGAGGCCACTCCAATTTCATGCTTGGTGACCTCCTGATGGTGTTTGGGGGATCCTATGGTGCCAGGAATTGAGCTTGGGGTTCCTGCATGCAGAGAGTCTACTCCAACCCTTTCAGCCATTTCCCAGGCTCCCAATATTTCACCAGTAAGAGTTCAGCCTGTGCAATAGGAATGGTTTTGCTGCCAACCTCACAGGATTCCAAGTTCGAGGAGCCCAAGAGAGCAAGGTTGGAAATACTATCGATACTGTCCTGGGGCTGTTTGGAACTAAGGTTCTGGAGCCTGCAGTGTTCCGTCCAGGGGGTGATGTTTGTGGCAGATTGGGAGTCTCTGTGGGGAGACCCTGTGCAGGGGGGGAAGTGCCGAGAGCTCCGTGCTCCTTGCACCCTGTGCTCCTCCCATTCAGAGCTTCTGTCCTTCTCTCCTGCTGCCACAGGGAAACGTCGTGGCCCTTGTGCATGACCGTGGTGACGCTGAGGATGAGGAGAACAACCTCCTGCTGAATGGCCTCTGTCACCAGAGCCACCTGGTCCTGCGAGCTGAGGGTCTGGCCACTGGCTTCTGCAGGGATGTGCACGGGCAGGTGCGTGGGGCCAGATCGGGGCCCAGTGGGCTGCCGAGAGGTCACTGGGATGATGCCGGGCCTGCTTGAGGTGTTCCTCAGTTGGTGGGGAACACTGGGGCTCTCTGATGATGCGGGCCAGGTTGGCTTCAGCCTGACCCAGATACCGGAGCACGTCTCCTGGGTTTATTGTCTTTTTCGGGCCACACCCTCCCGTGCTCAGGGCCTATTCTCACCAAGTGCTCAGAGATCACTCCAGCTAGTGATTGGGGCATCACGGAGTTCCTAGGCCTCCTGCCTGCCTGCATGGATGCAAGCACTCAGGTCTCTGAGCAGGTTGTTTGCCTCCTTCCTTTAGTGACTGAAGAGGAGATAGGCGGGAGTAGGATGCAGTACCCTGTCTCCACAGCAGAGGACGCCACTATACGAGGGCAGGATTTACTGAGAGACACAGGGGCCTGAGTGTGAATGCAGGGACACAGGTGCCTGCCTGCACATGGCTGCCCTTTGCAGAGCCCGGCCTGAGCAGAGCCCAGGAGGGAGCTCTGAGCACCTGTGGTGTGGCCCACCCACGACCCCGGTAAAGTTCGGGAAGCTGTACCCGGAATGAGGGTTGCTAGCGCCTCTGCTGAGAAGGTCAGGCCCCCGGCAGAAGCTGAGATCCTGCCTGGGAGTGAGGTCAAGTTCTCGCCTTCCCACGCCTGCCATGGCGCTCTGCCTTTGGAAACGTCTCCTGAAACCCTCTTCAATGCCTCCCCGAGGCGCCCAGTTAGCTTCCTAGCCCACACTCCAGACCCATCGTGGTGGATGAGTGCCTAGCCCAGAGCCGTTCAGAGTTGAGGGTGCCTGGTCAAGCACATCCACAAGCCAAGGGTGCTGCGTGTGGTGCCTCTGGACATAGCCCGGGAAGGTCCCGCTGGGCATTGTGTGGCCTGGGGCCACTTCCCCGCAAACATTTCAGTCAATCAGAGAGATCCGTCATCGTGATGAACATCAGCCTTTCTGACTCTCGGAACTAAAGCAACAGTTTCTTTTGTTTATTTGATTTGGGGTTGTGGTATATATTTTTTTCTTTTTTCTTTTTGGCTTTCTGGATCACACCCAGTGCTGCTCAAGGGTTACTCCTGTCTTTTCACACAGGAATTACTCCTGGCAGTGCTTGGGGAACCATATGAGTTGCTGAGGATTGAACCCAGGAGGTCTATCTTGTGCAAGGCAAACGCTCTGCCCACTATACTATCTCTTTCGGCCCCAGAAACAAGTTTCTTATATGTTTTCAAAATTAGTCCACAAGAACAAAGCACGCATAGCCAAAGTACACAGAGCAACTAAGATATTGGAAAGGATTAAAAAGACATCTACAGATGCTGAGTTTACAGATCTCCTTTCCTTTCCGCACATCTTCTGTCCAGGGTCAGTGCCACTGTGAGGGTGCAGGGGGTCCTTTGTTTCCTTTCGTTCCTGTGGGGACCACACCTGACTGCTCTGGGGACCCTGCGGTGCTGTGGATTGGATCCGAGCCTCTCACACGCTTGGCTGTGCTCTGCCTCTCAGCCATCCCCTCCTGGCACCTTTCACTTTGGCGGTCAGCTGTGTTTGGGACGTTGTCCCCTTCCCGTGTACTGAACTCACAGAGGTCTCGGGGAAGGTGCAAATGGGCATGTGGCGTTTATGTGGAGCAGGTTTCTGAGGGTGTGTGTGTGACGGGGGTGTGGGATTTGGGGTACACCACCCTCATTCTTCTCTCTGTTACTCTAGCTGAGGATCCTGTGGAGACCAACACAGACCACAGCCCAGCGGGATCGGAGCCTCACTTACCAGTACAAGATACAGGACAAGAACGTGTCCTTTTTTGCCAAAGGCATGTCCCCTGCTGTTCTTTGACCTCACTTAGGGACTACTGAAACTGCCCTGAACTGTCTGTTTTCAAAGGTTCATGATAATCAACCAAGTAGGGGTGGACGTAGACATGGGAAACTTGGAGGGGCTGGTTGCTCAGAGTAATCCGGAAATGGTGCCTTTGTTCCCCGAGTCCTGCTCAGAAAACACCGCGAGGGATCTGCCGTCCCAGCCCTCTTGAGATTCAACACTGCATGTCAAGCCCTGTGAAAAAGACCCTCAAATCCTGCCAGGCCTTGGCCCAAGTGGTGGTCTTTGATAACTGCTTCTCAGAGCCAGAGTGAGTGTGACTGCAATCTGAAGGAACATCGCCTGGCCCGAATCCCCAGTGACAAGACAGAGGGTGATGGCTACTTGCAGAGGAGGAACCACATGACCTCCCTTGGATTGTCTCCCTTCATTTTCCCCCTCATGCTGTAAAAGGTCTTTCCCCTTCCATCCATTGAGGAAGGGGATGGAGAGTGATGGGAAGCATGTAAAGGCAAGAGAGCGGGCTGTCTCCCAGGGCCTGACGTGTGCCTGCGCCCAGTGACTGGCTGTTTTGGAGAAAGGCTCTGACCCAGTTCACAGCTCTGACTTCTCCAGTCCCTAGGGGGCCTGCCTCCCCTTGATGCTCTTGATGACTGAGCCATCGGGGCCTGGCTCCGGACGGAGGTCCCATGAAGCCCCAGAAAGTGACTGGAGGGACTGTGCTTTCTGCCAGGCAGGTGGGGCCGAGGCAAGGGGGAGTGCCTCTATTCTTGAAGGTGAGTTGGTGTGTGTGGTGCTGAGGATGGACCCTAGGCCTTACGGATCTGAAGCAAGAGTGTCATTTAAAGCTCAGTGAATCTGATTTGAGAAATAAAATGAAAAAGTGACTCGTTTGCAGTGACTATGGAAGGTTCATGTTTAAGTGTTTACAACTTGAAATATTGGTTAAAGGGAACAGTTAATTTTTCGTTTTCCTCAAGCATACTATTTATTACTGTCCAGGAAGAGTGGAGTAACCAAGAGAAGCTGGTCTTGTTCTTGAAATGTTGCAGATCTCTACAAGAATTTGAAAATTATGAGTGTAGAATAAGAGAAAGGTTTTAAGAAATAATCCAGTGTGTCCTTTTGTGCTTTCATGGGCTTATCTAGCAACGCTTTGGGGACCTTGAAGTGCCAGGGAATGAGCCTGGGTCTCTAGATTGGACTCCAACACTTCATGTGGTGCTGGAAGTGGAAGCAGAAGCGCATGTATGGAAAGCAGAGGATTAGCCTGGAGCTATTCCTCCTGATTAGTGCACCTTTCTTTATTCTCCAGTGTTTATATGAGCTGCAGTTTATTTCTTTATTTGGGGGCCACACCTGGCTGTGCTCAGAGCTTCCCTCCTGCCTCTGCTCTCAGGAATCACTCCTGACAGCGCTTGGGGGATCCTATGGGATGCCTGAGATCTAACTCAGGCTGGCCTGGTCGTAAAGGCAAGCACTGGATGACTGCTCTGAATCGGAGATGCAGATTGGAGTAACTGAGATGCTGCCAGAGTTTACTTCAGATGAATTTGGTTATGTTTCTTGACTATGGTTGAAAGTGTTCCTAAGGAGTTTTGTATCTTGAATGACCAGTCTTTTACAGTGTCAAATTTAAAGTTGTTTGATTCTCTTGGAATTTGGTCCAGTTTTTATAATGATCAAGGATATTGGAAACACATTATTGTTAAAAATATAACCTACCTCTCTCGGGCTGGGACCTCATATAGAGTGCTAGGGATTTGAGCCCTGGTCAGGTACACACTGTCTTATCATTTCATCTTATCAGTACTTCTCTTTTGAATTTGTGAATGCTGAAAAAAACCTGGCTATTTCAATGGACTTAACACCAATGGTCAAGACAGACAGAACAAAAACTAAAATGGACTCTCCCACTCACACAATCAAGTCTGATAGAAGAACATTAAATCAGATGTGGGTTCATGTTCGCCAGGAAGCGTATTCTAGGAAATAATGGTATGGAAACAGTCACATCCCTGAGTGTCAAGTTTGCCCAAATTCCAGCAGTGTTACTTCACAGTCCTCCCATTGTTCATTGATTTGCTCGAGCGGGTCCAGTAACGTCTCCTTCGTGAGTCTTGTCACTGTCTTTGGCATATTGAATACGTCACGGGGAGCTTGCCAGGCTCTGCCATGCGGGCGAGATACTCTCGGTAGCTTGCTGGGCTCTCCGAGAGGGGCAAAGGAATCGAACTCGGGTTGGCCATGTTGGCTGCATGCAAGGCAAACGCCCTACCGCTGTGTTATCGCCAAACCCTCCAGCAGTGTATCAACAAAAAATGAGTTGGTCAGAACCAAGTCAAGGCTTCAGAGAGTCAAGAGAACCCAGGAAAGAGCCGGGTTCTAGACAGAGCCAACAGGACCCTACCTGGGGATAGAGCCCATGACAGGAGGAAGGGCGGGGGGGGGGGGGGGTTTGGAAAACAAGATGGCTGTTAGAGCAGAGGAACCTAAGGCAAGGGCCCCAGAGAGGGGAGAATCAGTTGGGGGGCATGGTGGGGGAGGGGCAGTGGGCACCCGGCCCTGTGGAACCCTGTGGGGTTCTCCCATCCTTTGTGATGTAGGCGATGCTATATAAGCCAGAGCCGCTTGCTCATACCTCAGTTGCCTCAGGCAGCTTGCCAGCACGATGAGATTCCTCATATGGACTCTGATCGTTTGGTTGGGTTATTGGAGTGAGAAAATGTTGAACTCTGAGTCGGTGTTTATAGACACCATTCCCTTTTTCCTTGAAGTGGTTGGATTGGGTTTCTGTCTATTTTTCTACCTGGCAATAAAATCCTTTTATACCTTCTGCAAAAAGAAAGAGGACAAAAAGGTAGGAGCCAACACCAGAGCCTGAGCAAGTTCGGGTGGTGGCGCAGAGGGCTGGTTCTGCTCGCACATCACAGAATGAGCTTGCTTGCTTCAGAGGAACACCTTGGTTGGGTCGTCTGAGGAGAAGGTAGCACCTCACTCTCCTAGGAAGGCAGACTGCGGGGAGGGTATTCAGGCAAGACAGGGATCCCCTAAATTTCACAGACTATTTGGAGAGGTGGCAGGTTCCAACTCAGAACCCCCAACTCCTACAATGACCCAGAGCCGACTTCCCACTCTGAAGACTTTTAAGTTCTCCAGAGAAAAGAAATCCCCCAGAGGGACCTCGGGGGGTGGGAGGACGGCATCAAGTCTTCTTCCGTGTCAGCTGTGAGGAGAGCAGAGTAGGGATCGGGGCCCAGGAATTTGCGTCCTGAGACAGGGATTACAAGGAACACAGGGCCTGCCCTGCCAGGCTGCCCGTGGTCAGGGGCCATAGTTGTTTCTAGATGGAAACCGAAAAAGCAGAATCAAAGCAAAGCATTTGGTCACATCTAACGATGAATAGGAGGCACACACCCAGCTGTTTGTGGCAGAATTTCTGTTGGTTTGGGGTCATGGTGTCTGAGTTTGAGAGAGGGAAAAACTGGTCCAAAACGCTCATTGATATTTGTCTTCTCAGCGCCAGAAAAGAGCCAGAAAAAGGAAAAGGAATGTGTCCCTCAGGGGTGAGTTTCTGCCTTTCCCACCTGCGCCCTCCCGGGGTGAGCCCCCTCCACTCCCACCCTCACCCCATTCCTGCAGTCCCAGGGCCCTGGTCTCTGAGGGTGGCCATTGCTCCCACAGACCCTTCCTGAAAGCAGGACCCTCAGAGGAACTGCTGAAGGGAAGGCAGGCACAAGCCTAGTCAGATCCTGCTCTGCCCAACCCTGGGCACTGAGGCAGGGAGGCACGAGGCGATGGGTGCTCCCCACTAGGTGGCCGTGGGAGATGAGAGAAGACAGACTCCTGCTCTGAGATGGTCAGAATATGGGGAGTTGGCAGGGATCAGAATCCCTTGGATCTCCTGCAGCTCTCCCAGGGAACAGGTGCGACGTTCATGAACTGACGCCACTCTCTTGGATTCCTAGGTGCGAGGTGCGACCTCACCGCTGCAAAACTGAGGAAACTACGGACGAGCCTGAATCTGGACAGGTGACTGTGTCTGCGTCTCTTTCCTACCCTGTCTGAGGAGGAGGCACAGGGACAGGAATGGGAGGGCAGGCCTGGGGGCAAGGCTGGGGGCAGGTTGGGAAATCAGAGCTGGAGACAGTGGGAAGGGGGGCAGGCTTCCGGGGCCCTCCCTCCCTAGTCCTCCCTCCCCAGCCCTCCCCACCCCCTAGGCTAGCAGCCCTTCCAGTCCCTGTTTGCCCCTCTCCATCTCTGTCCTTCCTGTTTTTTGCAGAACCCGTACCCAAGAGGAGGATAACCTCACATTTAATGAGAACTGTTGCGTTGAGTTACAAGACCAACATCAAGCCCCAGTTCAGCGGGACCCTGCAACTCTAGACCACGGACTTTCTAGTAGATCATTTATAGCCTTAACATTTGACTTTTTTTCCCTCCTTATTCCTGTTCGATTTTCAGCCTTCCCCGGAGATCCCGCTCCCGTTCCTCTGGCTCAGCCTCCCCCGCCAGTCGCTCCTTCCTCTGTACTCTCACCCCCATGTGGGGTACAGTCTGTAGATCCCCCCGGGTGGCTCCTTCTCACCAATGGCTGTTGTAACATCTTTTGGCTCCTCAGCCTTGCACATGATGCTCTCAGGCTGTGATACTTTGTTCTACCCTTTCGCATCCAGGAGTCTAACAGTGCACACAAGGACTAGCTTCCTGGAGCCGGCCCCTCCAGTGCCAGCCAGACCACTGTCCCTCCCTCCCTCCCTCCGAGCCTCCCAACCCCTCCCCAGATCCCTGTCCTCCGGGAACACACAATTCCAGTCCTCCACCACCAATGAACTTTAAGTGGTGCCCCCCCCCCCCAAACCCCACATGAGGCGAGGGACCCAGAACAACAACACCACCCTAAACCAGGAGCATTCTGGGGAGGAGGAAATAAGGAGAGACCGAGACGGACCCACACCCCTGGCCTCTAGCTCCAAATGTGATAGGGTGTCACTGACCACATTCCTAACGACCAATACGTACACCGCTCCACCTCCCTCTGTTCCCCACTCTTCAGAAATGAGGGATGTAAGCGGGGAGCAGCTCTCAGAGCACAGGACCCTGAGTAACAGCTGTGAGCCACTAACTGCTTGCCAGAAAAACCGTACCAATCAGACAAGTATCATTGCACGCTGCTGGCACAGGATTAGGAGGTCCCGGCGCTCAGGCACAAGGGGACAGACGCCCCGTGCAGGCCCTCTCAATAGAGCCCTGAGGTTTTGCCTGCCCTGCATCTATAACAGGCCCAGCCCTTAGGGGGACGTACAGTGAATCCCCCCAGGGACAAAAGTCCCTCTTCCCACCCCTGCCCCTCACAGGTCCCATGCCCAACGTAAAGAACTATTGGGCACCACTGGCCCACAGAGGCACAAAAACAGGCCGACACCCACCCTAATCCCTGACTCTCCCCCATTAAATAATGTTAAATTCTCAAGAAGTGATCTGTCTGCTGTGTTGGCAGTTAGGGTCGGAGTTACTGGGAGGCGGATCTCAGGGAAAGGAAGGAGTTCAGTTCTTAAAAGCCATTCCCAGAG